TAATTTTTACTGAATATAAATTTTAACTGTAGATAGTTAGAGAATTAATTTTAGACTCTAAAAATCACTACCAAACATACTCATAGACACATATGTACATCCATTGAGACAAGGTGCTTTTGGTTACCTACTATTGGTGAATCATGGTTACCTTTTCTGTCTTTTTTTATGGCTTTCATACAAGTACAAATAGTTATCTTTATTTAAACTTTTGTGCTTGTTTTTGGTAAAGTTTATACGTTGGAGGCAAGTTTTGAATCTTAAATTATATCAAATATAGCCAAAGAGTAATCTTTTTACCCTACCGTTCTTTTGCTATGAGTAAATGTATTTATATGTATTTTAATGATCTTGCCAATTAGCTGCATATTTGAGAAGATATTCGAAGTGTTCTATATATCATGAAAACAAAAAGAACACATAAGAGAATTGAATACGACAAGAACAACAGAGAAAACGACAATGTGAAAACTTAGTAGGCATATTATTTTATTCTGTTATTTATATTGTAAAAGTATCAAATTGTATCAAATTATACTAAAATAACATAAATAACAAGTATATGCTACAAATATCTGTTATACTAAACTAAAGGCCAAAGGAGAAATAGAAAAATGCTGGAAAATTTATGAAGACTGACCAAAATACCAAATTTCCGAACTTGGTTCATCTCTAAATTTCACTATAGAAGTAAAATGTAGCCGGTTAAAACTTTTTTTAGTGAGGGTTTATAATTAAAATAAAAATAGTAAGATTATAGGATTAAATTTTGAATGTGTAATGAGTTATGTGTATATTGATATAATAAATTATATATTTATATATGTGTTCTTTTTAAAAAAAAATAATAATAAGAGGGAGCTTGAGCTCCCATTAAATCCCACTTGGCTCTGTCCATGAATATAACTATAGTTTTTATATCTTTGGTTTCACTATTTTCTAATATACTACTTCTTTCTAATAATATTATTTTAGGATGTATGTGGTATAGAAACTTTTGCCCACTAAAGGAAACAATCATTGAAGAGACTTTTCACATAAAGCCAAAGTTTGATAGATTACTTCTTTCTGGCAATAAATTAAAAAATTTAGAGAAGAAAAGACAGTACTTAAATACGTTTAATTCTTAATAAAGGAAAGAGGAGGTAAATCTATTAAACATTGACCATAAAGGTTCACTAAATAGTTAGTGGGCAAGGTCTATTATGGAGCTATATGGTTCAATATTTTTTGTTTTCTTTTTTGCTAAATGGTCCAATAAAGTTTATGTTAAAAAGTCAAGAGTAGTTCTCTGATTTGGATGGTTCAGATTGATTGGATCCTTGAAATTAAGTGGGTGCATGCCTTTTCTTGTTTTAGGTAGGATTTCAAGTGCTAATGTTCTCTAATTATCGTATATTTATGATACAACATTAATATATTAATGCATCTGAAAGCTAATATATATATATATATATATTCAGGTGAGATTGTGATGTAATAACTGTTGATATTTCTACTCCGAAAGAAAGTCCATTTCAGTATATATATTTGGCTTAGAGTTCAATTTGATTCAGTTTTTGGTTGTAATTCTTACAGTGAGAAATCTGTCCAAGTATTACCTATATTAGGATATGTGACAATTGAAAGTGTCCCAAGATTAACCGGGTATTAGTAGAAAATTTAATTTTTTGGAATATTATATTGGACTATGGTTAACAGCACTAGCATTTAACGACATGTTCGACTAATGTATGCTTTTGCACGACGAATTATATAAGACACCCACTAAATGCATGCAACATAGATGTCGTGTCTTATATGCGTGTGTATGTATAAACACACGTGACACACACACACACATATATATATATATATATATATTCATAGTGCAGATTTTTCCACAAAAAATAATATTAATTGTGGATTTCCCACGTCTGTTGGATATTTATGGTGCACATTTTTTTAAATAAAAGACGTTTTTCTTTTTCTTTTTTTTTCTTGAGGAATTTTCTGTATGCTTTTCAATGTCAAAAGTATTTCACTTAAAAAATATATATATTGTTTGTTATTTCAGCCAATGATATCTAGTTTTGCCTCTGAGTTCCAAATTAATGGATTCTGCATTACATTATATTATTTGTTAGTTTAGAGAATCATGAACATATCCATAAACAGTGGCGGAGCAAAAAAAATTTTCAGAGGCAGACGTGAAGTAAACTAAAATTTTAATTAAAACAACAATATAATAATTTTAATTAAGTTTAATACACTTTTGAAGTTTGTTCAGTGGATTTATATAATATTATGGTTGATTTTTATGTTGTTTGGTATTTTAAATTTAAAATATAAGTATCTAAAACTTGGAAAGCCAAACTTTGTGGGGTATATCTGAATTTTTTTAAAAAACGTTAACGCAAATATTGCAAATTGAAAATTTTAGGGGGAGCAAATTAGGAGAAGCTTTGTAAAAATATTTTTTTTTTGGTTGGGGTTAAATTGTAAAGGAGCCACTTGGGCCAGGGGAGCCCAACGTGGCTCCGCCACTGTCCACAAACATTGATTTCAGCTGCATTTCTCTTTTTATTGTGAGTTTCATGAATTTTTATTTTTTATTGGTCAAACCGAAAAATGTAACCTTCTTCCTTGTCAACAAATCCTTTCAACACCTGAATTTTAGTCCAAAAACTCAACTAGTTGGCACCAAATTCATCCACAGACGTACGTATGAAGACATTACTTTTTGACAAAACATATATTGTTCAATGAAACTTGACAACTTTTGTCTTGTCGTTTTACTTTTTCCATTAATAAAGTGAAACTAATTCTATAATGCTTAACCGTGCCATGCGCATGCATTAATAATGCCTTTTGGTACAAATTACCAACAAAAGAGTTCTTCTAAATGCTTAATTAATCTCTTTTGGAACTTAAGCCATTCAGATATTGACATTTATCTAACCATAATGAGATTTTAATACTTAAGTAAGCACATAATCAAATTAAGCCAAAATCCTAATGAGTTGGAGTGACTGAATTCATAGCACAATAATCCTAAACCTTAGAACATCAGCATAATTGACGTACAATTTAGTAGATCAATTAGGCCCCCACCATATCAAAAGCTTCCCACAAAACAAGATTTCCTTGACGCCTAACTAATAATCAATCAAACGAAATTTGAAAAATATGGTGGGAATTGAAACCCACATGATCAACTCTAAACTTTGTGAATTAAGCATGAGATATGTGGTTGGAAAGTAGGGGAAAATGGTGAAAAGGAAAATTCAAGCAAATGTAGGACACGGATCTAAATTATTATCTTTGTTCACTTGATTTAAATAAACACAAGTGACAAACAAATGTGGGGCATAATGGAGTAAATTCTATATCCAAATCAATGCCCAAAGTGGGGGGTCAACATGTCTCTTCTCATTTATCCTCTAATAGTTTATTAATATATTCTCCTTTTAACTGTTCTAGTTTCAGTGCATGTATACTGTACACTGAACATAAGGCCGTTTTTTTTTTTTTTTTTTTTTTTTTTTTTTGGGTGCTGGATTACATAAGATTTGCTCCCATGTTGTTTAAAGTTTTCATATTTTAAAAGCTTGTTTGACATTGATGTTACACTTGATCGATATTGACTACTTTGTTATCTACATATATGTTAAAGTAACAATTCATGATCAAGCTGACCTAACTAGGATTTTGATGTTCTCGTAGATATGTTACCAAGGATATCTATAATAGCGTCTATCATATTGATGGAAAGGTTGCACAAAACACGTCTTCAATAGTTTTTTGAGAAGTTCTATTCTTGATGCTTTTAATAACTACAATTTAATTTGGTGGTGTGGATAAAAGGCGGTTTGTCTGTTAATTAGATAAGGTATAGCTACCGTTTAACTAGGGTTTATAAGTCTCGAGAGTCTCATTACTTTTTCTTTTTCTCTCTCTCTCTTTTCAGCCATAATAGAAAAAAAGTGAAAGGAAAGAAAGACGAGACGTAAGAGGATTAGTGACAATATTTTAATATTCATAATCGTTTAATAAGAGAGGAGAAAAAAAAAAAAAGAAATAGATTGAGTGAGTGATGTTGAATCCAATTTAACCTTCCAGTGTCGAAAAATTAGACAAAGAAATTCATACTAGCATAATAAGAGAAATTTCTCTCCCATCTCTTAGATTATATATATTACTTTCCTTTCTATTTTTCTCTCTCTTGACAAACACAACCTTATAATCGATATAACACTAAAAGAGACTTCTTTTAAAGAATTTTAGCACTATATGAGTAGGGAATGAGTTGGTGTATTTTCAAAGTTAATCCTAGGACAAATTTCCTTGCGAACTTGTTCACTAGTAACGTCCAAATTAACAGAGTAGAATAATACCAATGAATGGAATAAATTGGGAGGATTGAGGAGTGAATTATTCGACATTTGAAAATATTATCTTCACCTCCACTTCTAGAGATGAAGGGAGAAAAAAAAAAAAAAAAAAAAAAAAAAAAAAGAGGGTAAGGTTGACTAGTCTATACTTTCACTTGTCACAAAAAAATAAAAATAAAAATAAAAAATCGTCACAAATTATAGTTGTTGTCGATTTGACTAGTCTATACTTTCACCTATATAAAGGTTTCTCCCAACTCGAATGATTTAACCAAAATTATTACTCCCATAAAATTTTCAAACTTCCGGTGACAAACTTGATTATATATATTGTCCCTTTCAACAGCTACAACTAGGATGTGGTCAATTTAATTCATTTATTAGTATGCTGCTTACTGTGCATATCCTCGCTTTTTCGGTGATAGCTATTCTTTCTTTGTAACTTGTAAGTGAAGGCCACCATGACTGAAGACACAACAACAAAGAAAGGCCCAAGAGGAGGTCCAAGGGCGAAGTAGCTAAAGAGCCTATGCAGATACAAGGTCAAAAAAAAAAAAAAAAAACATTATTATCTCGTTTAAAGCACTTCCTAATCACAATTAAGATTAGAGATAAGATCCAGGACCATCAAAGCAAAGCAAAAATTGCAATTAATAGTAGAGAAAGCTACAACCATCCATCGAAACATGATTGATGACTAACTTTGCATCTGCTTTTTTCAATAATAGAGCAGGAATCTCACTAACATTACAGAAAATGTCTGCTGGACAAGTCACTCCTCCGAATACTAAAACAATACGAGCCTACAGAAAATACGGATACAGTACTTCAAATGTTTGTATGGACAACTTGACAATAACAATCTCTGTTTAAAATCATGTGCCTGAAACCTTACATGCCTGAAAAAGCACAACTCGACAAAGTTAATAATAGAGCAAGAAAAATGGGCAAGGAATACATGAGAGGAAATTCCAAGTACCATGTTTACAGCATGCCTAAGGACCAAGATCACATCTTTGAATGGATTCACCCTGTAGAAAGTGAAACAAAAAGAAAGGGAAGACAGCAGCAAATTTGTGGCCCTTAATAAAATCGACCACCAATTTGAATTTTTTTTCCTTTTTTTTTTTTTTTGGACATTTTATATGTTTGGTTCTTTTCATTTGTCCAAGCACAAAGTAGAGTGCGTAAGAATGAAAAAAATATGATTCTACCAACCCAAAATGAAGGCATGTATTTCGGCCCAACAAGAGACTGTGTAAAGAATACCGGTTTTTCCCTTCCGATTAGGAGAGCTTCCTTCAATGTATTCTTTCTGTTTCTTAACTACGCCAGGATACAGTGGAATAAATGAAACGCCAAATTGCGCCCCCACTCTCCTAAGGCTTGAACTCGACCCAACTACAATTCCTACATCTGCCTCAAGCAGGCAAAGCAAGTCGCCCACTGAGTCTCCAATGTAAACAGTCAAGTTCTTTCGGTCTTTGCTGCAATTTGCTAAAATATCGTTGAAAGCTCGAACCTTATCAATGGGAGACTCTACTTTCTTAACAATTTCACCTGTGGAAATGGATTCTTCAAAGGTGAACTCATTTGCATGTACATTCAGCTCATTCAAACCTCCTGCTCCATATAAAATACAGGAAAACGTAAATAACGACGAATGAATTGTATGTACACCATTATAGAAGATCCAATAGATGCAAAACAAAGTTGTCCACGTATCACATTCAGTCCCAGTAAGGAAGAAAAAGTTAAGTCACATTCGGTTAAAAGAAGGTTTTTTGTTCCCAGTTAAAGAAGCTAAGAATCCTTAAAGAGGAATTACTTCCATATGACAGGAAGTTCCTAAATCTCAAAATGAGACCAAGAACAGCGAGTGCTGGGAACCTAAGAATATGCAAAGACTACAGAGATAAGTTGAAACAATCCATCAATGCATTAAAGAGCCTACTGAGTACTAAGCAACAAGAGAACATCTGAAACAGATTCACATCTCAAGAAAAGTTGGATAGTATATCACTTCATATTAAAAGGAAAAGATAGTGAGACAGTGGGTTGGGCTATCGCTATTAATAACTTAAAAATTTAGAAGTATACTACTCATTGAAGAAAGCCCTGAGATGAATATAAATAGATACTACAGGTGAGCATAGATGGCACTGAAAAGTTTTACTTCCAAAGAAACGAAAGTGGCCAAGTGATTTGAATTTGTAGAATATATATATTATTTCAAGGATAGGAGTACTTAACAGGGAAGATACATACCTGATGAAAAAGCTGACCTGATGAGGTCACCACACCAACAGTATGAAAGGACATGAACATTTGCATTCAGATTTTCATTCTTAACAACATTCTCAAAGAAAGCGGTACAGCCATCGTGAAGAATGAGACGTTCACCAGCTTTTTTTATGTCTTCGAGATTTAGACCTTTGAGCACCCCAGACTCTATCACTCTATCATTCGCCCTTTTCTCAAAATCTGAAAGTTGTTCCAGTGCGTTGTGCAACTGTTCATAGTTAAACTCCACTGCAAAGCCACAGAAGTCAAGAACAATCATAACCCAAAGCAACTTTTAAGAATGCTTTTACAAAATTTCAATTAGTTGAAATAATGGTGAACAAGCAGATACCTTGTTCACTAGGCATAATGCTTTCTATGCATTGCTCATGCTCTTCTGTGTACTGGCTGGAAAGAAGGCCCCAAGTACTCCGGAGGTCAGCAGATGACATACGAGCAATTTGACTTTCAGGTTGTTGATTCTGATCAGATTTTGGTGCTGTTACTATAGCTATTTCTGCTAAAATGGCAGATGAATCGACAACGGTGCAAGTCAAATCAAAATCAGAAAATATCATAAGCCGATCTTCTGCAGGATTATGCTCTTTTGTCAGAGGAACTACAGTTGGCTGATCAAGTGGCTGCGATGCGAAGAATTCTATTTCAAGTTTCATTGCTTGATGATATAGCTTTTCAATAACGTCAAGTTCCTCGCCTGTCAAAGAGACACTTAGTTTATCGAGCAACTCTTCAGTTTGCACAGCTGATGCCTAAATTCAAAGATAAGAATAGTTGAGGTGTTGGAGTAAAGAACATTTATGTAATGTACGAGCCTCCGAAGCGGTAGAAAGCAAAGTTTAATTAGAATGACCATGAGAACTAAAATAAAAAAGCTCCATCTTTCAATAATATTACGAACCTGAAAACTTTCAGATGAATAATTGTCAATCCACTTCTGATATGGGTGGCCCTCTCCGTTGTTATCCAGAAGTGCCTGAAACTCCTTACCCAGAAAAGCATACAGCCTCATACAAGGAGTCATGGCACCAAGCGTGTATGCAGCAATTTTAGTTCTCTCAAACGGAGTAGCAAGTTTACCAGGAGCTTTTACTCCTTCAACCTTCCCAGAAGCTGTTGCCAATAAGAAATCTGTGTACTTCAACGTGGCAGAGTTGACAGAGCCCTCTTTAGCAAGGTCTGCACCCCATTCCTGTGTGGCTCAATTATTTGGACACGAAGATAATAACTTATGAGCAAAAGATATAAATCTATACACATAAAAAGCAAAGATTGAATTGTTAGATAATTTAACAGAACTAGTTAATGCAAAATCGCTGTCTCTCTCAAGAATCACTATATATTGTTACTTAAACGTCCTAAAAAGTTCCCCATAATTAATTTTGAAATTTTCCTGAACAAGTCATGTAAATCAAACATGCCTATACATCACACCATTTAGTAAATGAGTATACTATTCTATCTTCACATTCTGTCCTTCTCCAAGCCTGCACTCTGTCTTATATCTGATTCTCTATCAAATGAGATTGGGCATACATACAGTAATCATAATCCAGTATCAAGATTCAAATCTCTATTTACCTATATCCCGAGAAAGAAACCTTCATACCTGTACAAAAGAATCGTGCATTTTCAACTCGTCCAAAATGGCGCTCCTCAATTCAGAAATTGCAAGCTTTGCATCATCATCATCTGCACACTCTTCAGCTGATTCATATCTAAAAAAAAAGGAGTGCAACGTCTTAATTCCTTGATATATTTCCCAAATAATCTACCCTCAATTTGGTTGCAACAGAAGGGATAAAAAGAAACAAGAACACAAGAAGTAATGCTTCGAAAGCATAGGATTGCAACCTCCATTTTTTCTAGAGAACCATAAGCCCACCCAAAACACTAAATAGTTGAAATATGATTGGGCCATAATTTTACGTAGAGAAATATCTCAGATGAATAACTTTTTTTCTAAATTATTTCCTTGTCAGCCAACAAAGATTGGAACTTGAAATCTTATTTTATTTTATTTTATTTTTACACTTGGTGAGCAATAAAACAGAGAACGAAACCTACAAAAACCAGCATCGATACAAACCAAGTGGAGGGCAAAAGGTCCATAATCATATAACGTCAAAACCAATTCTGAAGAAGTTACGTTCCTAAATTTAATATATATATATATATATATATATCCTTATCTACTGTTGCAATTCTTGCTAAACTTACTGGCATTTCTCAGCACCCAAACGGAACTCACGAGAAAACGGGAATCTTTACAACAAAGAACCAAAATCTTGTTCCTAACAAGTAAGTTTCAGCAAAAACTAACTCTTCAAAAATTCATTTTTCTCCACACAAAAAAAAAAAAAAACATTTCTTTTCCTCACCAATCGCATAGCGATCTACATCCACTATCTCCTTTTTTCCTTTTTCCATTCTATTCAAGACTCCAAAAAAAAAAAACTACGAAAAAAGATAAAACTATAGAAAGAAACAGAGCGCTTGATTGTGACTATATTAAACCCTAGGGAACTTACGGTAAGCTATCAAGATTTCAACAATAGTTTTTCTTTGATTGGACGAATCCTAATCGCCTATTTAATTTCGAGCTAAACTTTCTCACGAACCAAAAGCATCAAATCAAAGAAAAGAGAAAAGCAAACAAACGCATAAGGTTTCTTTCCTTAACTGTCGAGAAAAAAAAAAGTAAATTTCGAATCAGATTCCACGATAACAAGTAAATCAAACTTCGATACGAAAATTTCATGACTCACGCTTGAGCGAAGGCCTTGAGAAAGTGAAAATCCTGGGAGACATAATGCCGGAAAGTTTCAATCTTGAGGTTTCCGGCAGCCAAAGAGACGGAGAATGGAGTGTACATGGCGAAAACCGATTCTCTGCGGAACTTGATCCAGAACCGCCGGGCGAGGCCGACCTCGTTGTCTATGGTGGAGATGGCCGACTTCGGAAGAGGTATTGCCATTGATTCCGGCGGCGATCTCCGGGCTGAGTCGACACAGCAGGATCGGACCGAGTCGTTGCGGGAGAATCGGCGGAGGAGCGAGTCGGGCGACGATACGAGCTTGGGGAGAGACGTTGCTTGGCTCTTGATTTGGTTGAAGAAGAAGAAACGCATCAATGGAACATTTGGGAAAGAGAGAGAGAGAGGGAGAGACGGCGGTGGCTCTGTGCTAGAGAGAGAAAGGGAAGAGAGAGAGAGAGGGGAGGAGGGGGAGAAGGGTGGGGGGCCGGGCTAGGGAGGGGTGGGACTGGAGTCTCTGTGTGTGTGTGAGTTGGCAGTTCGGTGGGTGTGTAAAAAGGAGGGAAGTTTTTATCCGATGGTGCGTGTATTTTGACTCTCTCGGCAAAAAGTGTGTTATTTTGACTTTTTTTTTTTTTTTTTTTTTTTTTGGCAGTTGGGAAATGATATTTTTAATTTTTAAAAGATATTTGTAAGAGAAAAATTAGTTTATTAATTAAAAATTAGTAAAATATTATGTAAATAAATAATAGTAAATATTAATTCAAAAACATATACTCTCAGAATTTGATCCTTTTATTAAGCTTAGATAACTTTTGAATTTATCAAATTTAGTTATGAGTTAAATTTGGCAAATTTTCAATTTAATCATAGAAAAAAAAAATTGAGTGAATTTTGAACTTATAAAATTTAATCATAAGATAAATCCGGAGATTCCCGAATTTACTTAGTTATTAAAAAATTATTCAATTTATTTTTGTTTTCACTAAAAAGGCTATTTACACTCTCTTCCTTTTATTTGTCTTTGTGAATTTTTCTAACCAAAATTTCATTACATGGAAAAATATTAGTTCAATTGAAACATAATAAGTTTTCTGAAATATTTTAAAATAGCAAAACTACATAATAATTATCTTAATGATATTCACGTTTTATCTTACAAGAATACATAATAATTATGTTAATGATAGTAATTTTTATTATTCTAAATTAGTATTTTATTATATTTCAATATGACTAATAAAAATTGACACGTGTACACCAATTTCACACGCACACTTTTCGTCGTTTGTTGGTGCTTGCTGTTCCAGCCTCCGAGGCCCACTAAAATGTTGGAAAATGAAAAGCGGGAGAGGAAAATAAAAAAATATTGCTCTTGAAAAAATGACTCAAATGTCTCATTTGCAAGTGGGTTTTAGTTAAATAACCATGGTTTTGGCTTTATGCTATTAAAAAAAATGAAAAGAGGGAGATTGGATTTAGATTGAAGGAATTGAATACTCTTTTTTTTTTTTTTTTTGGTTTGAATAAATGTGATTTTGTAGGAGATTGCGATTTGCGAATTGGGGTGAAGAAGTGGTTAAAGATGTGAAAAAAGTAAAGGGTCCGGTTAATTAGGTAAGTTATTCAAGAGGGTAAACTTTGACATTATTCCTCCTTTTATTATTTTAATAGTATTTTTCTGATTGGTTGAAAATTGAGTTAGCTTTATTATGCTGCAAGTAACATAAAGGTATTATGTTGGGTTTTGTAAGATTTCTATTAAATTATAAAAGATGTAAAAATGAAGGTCTCGTTCATTTCATCGATTTGAGTTTTCAGTTTTAGGTTTTTATAGTAAAAAGCTCTCAAAAAATATCACATCTAACTTTTTCTGCTACAGTGAAAAACTCTAAGAAAATGTCACATCTCAACTCGAATTAAAAATTTGAATCCGCGAAGTGAACGAGACCGAAGTAATTTTAATTATATTCATCTTGATTCCAACATAGGGAAGTGCTTATTCTAGCACCCCAAGTAGTTTCCACCAGAACGCACTATCAAGCCTAAAAGTCATGATTCTTATCGACATTTTTCCTATAAATTTCTTCAATAGATTACAATTCCATCTTAATCTCCCACCAACTTGCAAACCTCGAATAATTAAATATAATATTTAGAAAGCCGGAAAGGTTGTCCAAAAAGAGCAAGATGTTGCTTTTCAAGCATTTAAAGTCGGTAAGTCATGTACATGAAACATTATTAAAGTCATGTGCAATATCGAATATCTATTGATTTAGGAGACGTTTGGTTCATAAATTCAGAACTATGATTTAGAACTATTCCCATTTTATGTGTGTTTTTTATAAGAGAAAATACTGTAACAAATCACGAACCATGATTCAAATCATGAAACGAATCCCCTTTCAAACGTCCCTAATTTTTAAGGTGACATAATATATGCAGTAGGATTAAACTTATGTTTCACACCACTACGTTTGGCAAATAGGAGATGTTCGTGTATATATAAATATATATATATATAGTACGTACAATTATATATATATATAACGGCTGCTTAAAAGCATTAAAATTATCAGGAAAAAAACGAGTATACCAATATTTAAGTTGATATATGCATGTAACATGCTCTACATAGTAGTCTTGTGATGTAGTGTGATTTGATCAAGAGCTACAAGAGTACATGTCACGCTACTTTGATGACTTATATCATGCGACATTCACCATTAATTTTTTTATTTTTAACACAATTGCCCCTAAACTTATCATGCTTTAACAAATTGCCTCTTAAACTTTCAATTTTGACAATTAACGCTTCAAAATTATAAAATTATTACAATGTGCCCTATTATACTAAACTTGTTCAATTTTTTATTAAACTTAAGGGATTAAAAGTTGAAGAATTAAAATAATTGTGTTACATTTGAATTAAGATGTTAGAATCTTTCGCCGAACTTTTTTTTGACACTAAATTAACACAATCATTGTCAAAATAAAGCATATTGTAACAATTGAGGGGGCAACGTGTTAAAATTAAAAATTTAGAGGGCGAATTGTTAAAGTCATCAAGTTTAGGGGACCAATGTGTAAAATATTGTTTTTTTATTTTTTTTTTTTTTTTTTTTTTTTTTTTTCTTTTGGCCTTTTTGTAATTCTTTTAGTTTGGAATATAGTATGAGCATTTTACTGAACAGAAAAATGAGAATCTCGTAATCAGGAAAAGTTGTTTGGTCATCACATTCTTTAAACAAAAACAAAAAAAAAAAACCCAAAAAAAAAAAAAAAAAAAAACCAAAAAACAAACAAAAACAAAAGAGAATAATATTAAACAGACGGAAAAGATTGAAGTGATCTGATTTACATCAGTACACTAAAAACACACCGGCCACATGAATAATGTATATAAAACCAAAAATTCCCTAGCTAGACAAAATAAACAAGTAATCTTCTGCAAAAGTAATCTGGTCCAATCGGCTGAAAAGTTATGAAAGAAGGAATGAAATATGATATATAAGAGATTAGGAAAAAATATATATGATATATAAGACAGCAAATATTATACATATATATACCTCCAAAACCATAGAAAAATAAAAGTGTAAATCAACATGCTTGAAAAGTGCTTATTAGTTAGCCTTCAAGGAAACATAAAATAACATGGATCAGTAACAAATGGAAATCTATATAGAATAATGAATTAGACGAAAAGAATGTCTAGATATACATATATATATATATGTATATCCATTTTAGAAATATTACTAGCTTGTGCGTTCAATGTGTTTCTATATTATATACACATGAATCCCTTGATTCCTTGAAGATTGTTTATCTAATAATTAGGGATTTTAATTAATCACGTTTTGTTTAAATGTTGCATACTTCTAGTTGAATACTTATCCACCTTGTTTATTTGCATTGGTACGTACAACTCCGCTCCATGATTAGTAGCCATCACTTGATTTTAAACTGTATAAATTGGAAATGACACAATGGAGTTAAATTTTATAATGCAAAGTAGAGATCTAATTAGAGTTTAAGGACCTGTTTAGTTTGCTGATTCGAGTTGAGATGTGATTTTATGTGAGAACTTTTTACTATAGTAAAAGAGTTAAATGTGACTGTTTCTGAGAGATTTTTACTGTAATAAAACTCAAATTTTAAATTCAAAATTTCACCGGGGCCTAAGTACATTTCTAAATCGATACAAATTACAAAGCTTATACCAAACTGTCCAGCTTGAATGCCAGCTCTTCTCTTGATGCTTAGTTAACTCGATCACATGATCGGTACCAGCTGGAACAAGCCGCAGAAGTTTTAGAAGACAATTAGCTAGCTATAGAGTTTTAATTAATGGCTTAATTTGCTGGTCACTTTATACAATTAATTAGAGACTTAACACTAAGTTTGAAATTGTGCATTTGATTGGTGGATTTGTGGCATAGTTCGGATCATGGTTCGTGGCTCGGTACAGTATTTTTTCTCATAAAAAATACACCTAAATCAAGAATAATTCTGAATCTATGAACCAAACATTTACGAAGTATTCTACTAGCCTGCATGCTCTTTTATGACATAACCTACTTGTTAATTCTTCTATTAAAAGAAAACCCTACAACTTCATTTTGCTCATCTTTGACACATGTAAGAAAGGTGGAAATGGACTCATTAACTTTGATTGTATTATGCTAACTAATGAAGTACCATTAGCTTAAAAGTTCATTGAACTTTATTTTCTTCGGACTTTAAGCCGAACGAGCAGGATTGGATTCTTAACCAAACCAAATTTCTACCTCAAAATAGTCGTGAATTCCATTGGGCTCTGAATTCTATCAAAGAGTGATCATGATAACTCTTCCTTTGATGTGTTATTGTCCTTCGAGATGGGCCAACACTGGGCCTAGAAGTGCAGCCATGTTGAGCTCCAAAATAAGCAAAGCCCAAATTATTGGCCAGTCGAATTAACTTCGGCTAGTGTCTAGTACAAACCTGCTAATAGAGGAAATTTCCTCTCGGAATTTACTCAATAGGATTATAAAAAATAAACTATTAATAGTTCTTTATTTTTTAACTATTAAACTTTTATAAAAAATTATATATTTTTATTAGGAAGACATCACATACGAAACTGATCTAACACACTTCAGAAGTCCAACTTGACCCAAAAGGTTAACCTATTGGGTCGAAGATTTTTCTATGTATATAAATCACTTCACATCCTCATCCACTTTCTATGTAGGACAATAGATACATGTACTTTTCTCAGCAATCTCCCCCTCATGTGAGTGTTCATCGAGATCCCCTACACCCACGTAGCAGAAAAATAAATTGAAACAAAAATAACAGAAAAATAGAGAAGACAAAGATTTAAGTGGTTCGGAAAAATTTCCTACGTCCATGGAAGAGGGAGAAAAATTTAC